ACTGTAACTTCTGTGTAGATCTTGAGTATTCTGAGGTGAGCAGTGTTCTTGCCAAGTTCACAGAGGTGGGGAGAAGCCAGGAAGTGTCTGAATAGGGATCATGGCTCTGCTGCCCCCATCCCAGGTGAGCACAGGTGAAGGGGCATTCCGATCAAGTGTGAGAGAAGACAGGCTTGAACAGGCTGACCAGACAACTGTGTCTTCCTGCAGTAGTTGTCTTTGTGACTGTATCTCCTTGAGATCGTTCCCAGTCTAGCTGAGACACTGCTGATCATGGAAGGTTGGGTCTTGTTTGAAGGGAAGGAGACCTCAGCCTCCACACTCTAGCTGTCTTGTGATGGTGGAGGGAAAACAGGACCTCACAGAAGAGAGTCAACAAGCCTGGGCTCTGGCTGACTTCTTCAGCAAACTACAGGGTGGATGACATAGCAGAGCTGCACCCTTCCAACTCCCCTTGACTGTGTACCCCAATTGAGAGGAAACTGCTGTTTCCAGGAGCACATACTGCCACGTCTGGGCCCCTGGGAGGGTATGACTGTGGGTGAAGAGATGTCTTTGTCTCCTTTAATTGACAGCGATTTTCTTCCGTGGAGAAACTATACAGAAGGGAGTGCATTGAACCTCAATCCACTGAATCTTATTAAACCATTCTTGGGGAAAAGTGATTTCAATAAGAACTTAAAAGGAAGAGAAGCCAGGAACTGCAAACTAGAAAATAAAGCAGATGGAGGCAAATGGTGTACACGGCCTGCGGGGCTCTGTTTTTCCTCTGCACAGTGTCCTTGGAGATGAACAAGAGGTGACTGTCATGCGGCTAGGAGGGACCCTAAAGGTCCCTAAAGCCTAGGGACTCCCACAGAGCCCACTGGCGAGAGTCTCCATAGCTTTCACACGCCTTGCCTGTGACTCGGAAGGCCAGCTCAGGCCTTCTTGTTTGCAGTCAGGGTCCAGGATCAGAAGGTCACAGAGACAGCCCACATCAGTTCCTTGCATACGCACACACACTCCCTTCTGGGTCCTGTACCCTTGTATTGTTTTTGAGATGTAATCTACATGTCATTAAATTCACTGCTTTTGAGTGTATGGTTCAGTGGTTTTTGTGTATTCACTGGGTGTGTAGCCGCCACTGCAATGAATTCCAGGACATTCTGTTGCCCCCCAAAAGAACCCCTCTTCCAGGAGGCAATCACTCCCAAACAGTCTTTCTCCTGTATCCCTGGTGATGACCAGTCTCTCTGTAGCATCTGGGGATCTTCCATCTATGATAGACTTGGGGACCATGCCCTGAGTCTTCCATCTGTGTGTGGTTCTACTCCAGGTTTCATTGCCTTTGCTTGGGGATGGTACTTCCTGCCTTTGGTGGGCATCAAACACTACTCTGTGTCCAGATGTGTCCTGGGTGCCTGTCTGTTAGGGGATGCTTGTGGTGTTTGCATTCTGGGCTTCTGTGGGGTGCTGCAGTAGACACATGAGTGTACAGGTATGTGTACCTTAAGGGCTGTCATTCACACATCAGTGGAGGCGCCGATTTTCCAAGGGTCACCAAACCATTTTCTACAGCAGGAAGGCCAGTTCACATCCTCACCATGTTCCCCGAGTGGATCCTAGACTCTGAGCATCAACAGCACCTGGTGGTGTGTTCCATCTTTTTTGCCATCCGTGACCTTGAGGAGTGAACTGGGTGACATGTTTGGAAGGGGCTAGTTGAATATACTGGAGTTTCAGGGAAACAGTACCATCTCTCCTGGCCTCCTGGGTGAACACGTGACCAATTGGCCCTGATAGTTCATGGTAGGGTAGGCCACCATGTTGCAAAGCCTCCCTCCATCATCTGTGTGGACGGCAGACAGTTGACAATGCCGGGGTGCCTTCCTGTGGTGGAGCCCTCCAACAACAGCTTCATTTTGTATCTGAGCATGTCTGAGAACCCCCTAAATCTACACTGAACACCCAGGGTTCTGCAGGAGGCATGAGGAGAGGAGGCTCTTGTGGGTTTACAGGTGTCTTTGAAGGCCAGTCCAGGTGTGTCCCCTGAAGACCAGACTTTCTGTCACGAGATCAGGTTTCAGGCAGGGCCCAGCACTCTACTGTCCACTGGGGCAAGCCAGCCATTGTCTCCGCTGATAGCCACCTCCCCCACGCTGCCCTCCATTTCTCCTCTGAGCAAATGCATCCCTCTTAAAGGGATCCACTGGGCCGAGGAGGAGCAGGAGGAGGAGCAGGGCATCCGCGTCCCCAGCCCCACTGCCATGCTTGGGATTTCTGCATAACAGCTGGGTGTCTTGGAAATGAGAAGGTTTCTATGGTAACCAATTACAGCCCATGATTGGTGAAAAATCACAGAAATATCCTGTGTGTGAAGTTATGCTGGAGAGGCAGGCCCGGGCTTAGGTACTGTGGTTTTAATTTCCTGGGGCGATATTTCTCAGAGTAGTGATGGCAGGCAGCTCAGAATTTGTGCTTCCCAGTCAACCTGCCCAGTGGGGCTAGGAGACATCTAGAGGGACTTGATGGGGCCTGATGTCATCCAGCAGAATCTGAAGGGACCTACTGGAGTCTAGTAGGGCTGAAGGGAGCCCAGAGGGGTATGGTAAGACTTGGTGGCATCTGTTGAGACCTGGAGAGTAGCAGAGTGCTCCAGTAGAATCTGGTTGGGTCTAATAAGTCCACCGGGGGTGGGGGGTGGGGGAAGAGCCCTAATGAAGTCTGGAGGAAACCAGTGGAATCCGATGGGGCCTAGTGGAGCACTAGAGACTGATGGAGCCTGCTGGGGTTTGGTTGATGGCACCATGAAAATCTGTCAAGGCTTGATTAAACCTAGAAGACCTGACAGGGCCCAATGAGACCTCACACATGCTCAGAGCATCTCACTGACAGAGAGACAGACACCTATCGAGATAGACAGGCAGGGAAAAGACCCGGGTTCTTACCATTGCATCCCTACAGGGTCACTTGAAGTTCTGAGGAGAGGCCCTTCCAAGTACACAGGGGAGTCTCATACTGACCTAGATCTCTCCTCACAGTGATGACAACCCTGCCCATACTGGAGCTTGGCTGCTCGTGCAGCCCAGAGGCATCAGCTTAATGAGCTCCCCTCCCCCCATTGCCACAGCAAAGTGCTTTCATTCTGATTAAAAAGCTGGGCCTTATTATTTGGGGGACCATTTCTTTTTGCTAATTAGTCCCAGTGAACTCAAGTTTCTTTCTCAGGGACCAACTCCTTCCCAAGCATCAGTGGGGTGTCAGCTTCAGGCAAGTGGGGTTCAGCACAGGCTGAGAAAGAACATGCACACCCTTGAATAAACACAGTCACATACACTGAAGGGCAAACAAGGATATGCTTGCATGCTCACACTGGAATCCACACTTAGAGAGGTGTAGACCCATAGAGAGGTATAGACAAAGGTACACTCACCTGCAAGGCACATGGATACACACACACAAATAGTTACACAGATGGACATAGTGGTGGCTTCTTGCACACTGCCTCTCACACCCAGGGGAACACTCGCAGACACATCAGCACGCCCACACGTGCTCAGTCTCAAGCTGGCAAACGCACTCACAAATTGACTCCCTCAGACTCTCACGCACAAGCAGTCACATCCGGCACTCATGCACACCCACCTGGATGTGCTCCACCCCCTTCCAGCACACACACATCCACGTGGGCTTCACACGCATATACAGTGGCACATCCTGACACATGCAGTCACGCACGCGCGCGCACGCGCACGCGCGCGCGCACATACACACACACACACACACACACACACACACACACACACACACACACGACACCTTATAAAGAAAAACAACCCCATGTGTATTTCTGGGCCTGGCAGACGCAGCTGTGGAGGCTGGGAGCTCAGTGTACCTGAGACTCCCTGCACCCTGTCTCCCCCAGCAGCCTCTGGGGAAGTTTTCGATTCCTTCTAACTTTCAGATGTGAAGCTGGTTGATGACAAGGGCTGACTTTGAGTGGCACCTATAATCGGTCCTCAATTACCTATGCCGGGGGAAGAAGGAGCGTGGGCTGCACCCTCCATGCCTGGCTGTGTGGGATTTTCTGCACGCTGTTCTGGATTTTCGTGGATGTTTCAGTGGCCATGAGAAGACTTGTGCTCAGCCCATGGACTCCCGGTGGGGACTGTCACAACAGGTCCTGGACAAGCTGTTATCATTCTTCCCACCTGCTCCCAGCAGAGTGAGCATCAGCCTCAGCTCCTGATTGGCTGTGCTCAGTCTGGTTTTCCTCTATCCAGCCCCAGCTGAAGATGAGAAGCTTCCAAAGGGCATCTCCACTGGAGATAAACAGGGAGAGTAGAAATGTCAACAGAGAAAGCGCCTTGTACTGAATCCTCCAGCTTTCCCTGAGCTGCAATCAGCTCCCAGAGCGACACCCAGGGAAGGCCAGACATAAGGAGATTTGCTTGGCTGTGCCCAGGCGGTGGGCAAACAGGTGTATGTTCAGTCAGAGGACTAGAGGGCTGTGGTGTTTGGGAGGGGTGGGCAAAACCCTGCACACATAGGGAGAGACTCCTCCTGTCTGCCTCACAGGTAGCCTCCCGGAGCCTGCCTGAGGCCTCTTTCATTCACAGGCCTCAGGACTCAGCTGGCCACCTGGGTTTGAGTCAGTTCTAATGTGGAGAGGCCCCGGGGCCTGAGAGCAGAAGTTCTCATCACCGTTTTTAGCTTTTGTGTTCTTGAAGTCCCAGCTTCACCGTGGGCCAAGTCTTCAAGGGCATTTTGCAGGATGGGGGCTTTGGTGGCTGGGTGTGTTGCCATAAAAGGGGGCTCTTTGGTTACCATCCAGGAAGTGCCTGAGCTGCAATCAGCTGTCTCAGATGCACAGCAGGCACTGTCCTGGAGAGTAAGGAAACACTGTGCCCGAGCTGGCCCAGCGGCTTCTGGGGCCCTTTCCAGGTTCAGACGAACTCTTTTGACAACCAAATGCTGTCCCACTGCCCACCCACTGACTGCTCTGCTCTCTCTCTCAGCTCCATGTCCATCCGCTGGCCCGGCCGCTCTCTCGGAAGCCATGCCTGGATACTGATAGCCATGCTACAGCTCGCAGTTGACTTCCCATCCTGTGACTCCTTAGGCCCAGGGCCTGAGTTCCGGCTCCTGTCGCGTCCACAGAGGCCCCAGCGTCTGTGGAGTCTGAGAAGCGGACCCCCAACAAGGCTACCAACACCAGCCTGGAGTCCCCGTGCTGCCCGGGCCGAACGTTCCCACGGGCCCATACAGATGCAGACTCCCCGTGCTCGGAGGGCCCACAGGCCCAGGGACCAGGTGGCCACCCTTGGACCTAAAGGGGGACTCACCAAGCCCCCGGCTGCCACGGGATCCAGCCCTTCCCTCACCTCTGCATCAGCCTCGTCCTCCAGGGTGGCTGCTGGCACAGCAGAGCATCAGAGCCTCTTAAGGGGTAGGAGGCACACGCACGATACAGAGTTCAATGATTTCAACTTTCGTGGCAGCAGGCCTACGACAGAGACAGAATTCATAGCCTGGGGGCCTACCGGGGATGAGGAAGCGCTAGAATCCAATACTTTCCCTGGTGGGTTCGGCCCCACCACAGTCTCCATCTTGCAAACACGGAAGACAACTGTGGCCACCACCACTACCACCACGGCCAGCACGGCCACCGCCATGACACTGCAGACTAAGGGGGTCACCGAGTCCCTAGATCCCTGGAAAAGGACCCCTGTTGGGGTTAGCACAACAGAGCCTTCCACCAGTCCCAGCAACAATGGGAAAGACATCCAGCCCCCAAGGATCTTGGGGGAGACCTCAGGTAAGAAACCTCTTTGTATTTCTGCTCTGGTTTGGGGAGATGCAGGATGAAGGGTGGTTTGCAACAGGAGGATGCAGAGATGTTCCCAGGAGTCTAGTATAAACAATGGCAGAGGGAGAAGAGCTGAGCGTGGACTCCAAGGAAAGACTGGCTGCCATGTGGAACACAGTAACTTCAGTGTCTACCTATGTGCTTATATCCAAGCTGCAGTCCTGAGGTACATCATATTCAGTGTTAAGGGACCATGTAATCTTCAAAACCTTCAGTGTGCTGGTCCTTTGGGGCTGGTTCACTGCTAGACAGAACTTGGCCCAAGGCTAGGAATGACCTTGAATAGCTGGAAAGACTAAGGCCAGATAAGGGAAAGAACTCTCTGTGATGCTGACTGAAGCTCCGCAGAAAGGTTTGTCTCTTCCCTCGGGGAGGAGCTGGGGGAGGGCATCTGGAGGCAGGGACAAGATGCAAGGCTTTGGCTCCCTGGCCCTGCAGTGCTCTTCTCATGCCATGTGGACAATCACAGCTCCTTGGCTTGAGACATCTCCTTCTGTGGGGCTCTGTTCGTCTTCTTCCATGCTGCATTCTCTAATGTTTGCAACAGGAGTAGCCCTGGCCACGTCCCAGGCTAGGATTTTTCTCTGTGCCCGCAGCCAAGGGAGAGAGAGTTGGTAGCTCGTCCCCTCCCACAACCCCCAGTATGGCCCACGACAAACAGCATCAGGCCACGTCCCAGGCTAGGATTTTTCTCTGTGCCCGCAGCCAAGGGAGAGAAAGTTGGTAGCTCATCCCCTCCCACAACCCCCAGTATGGCCCACGACAAACAGCAGCCCTTGCTGATGCTCCGGAGTCGGGAGAAGCTCCCTGGGCATCGATAAAAATGTCTGGTGGTGAGGAGTGGTCTCCTCAAGACTTAAGCCTCAGGCTTGGGGGAAGAGGAGGGGCAGCTCCTGAGGTCCACTCTTGGGCAGTTGGTACAGTATCCCTGCAACTGGTTTCGTCCTGGCTGTTCCTCCTCTGACCTTGGGCAGGCAGACACCAGCTAGCAGTTGGACAGGTTTTCATCGGGTAAGCAGCTTTTGTCCTTCAGCCACCAACATCCCTCCTTCCTGCACTGAGCAACAGAACCCACTGGTTTTATCCTGCATTATCTTGGTCCTCATGGATCCCACCTGGGAAAACAGAGCTAGTCTTCTACTGTGCCGTGGCCAAGGGCAACACTAAGCCCAACAGCTCCTGGAAGGAAACCTAGGGCTGCATAGGCGTCTCTCCCACAGTCTCCCTAGGGAATCCACAGTGTTGAAGTGGGGACAGAGACATGAAGGAGGGGACACATGGCTGTTCATCTCAGGGCCAGACGCCTGCAAGCAATTCCCATAGCATCTGTTTTAACTTCTACCAACTCATCAGCCATAATCATAATGGAATTTGGCGCTCCTCTCACCGACTGTCACCTCCCCTGAATACGTCACTTACTGTATAGACACGGATGAGGAAACAAGTTCCCATTTGTCCCAAATTACATCTGCTATTACAAACGCTAAACGCCTGGGACAGCACTGTGAGGCTTAGCAAATTAACTCACGGTACATCGACTGTTGCTAATCCAACCCGACAGATGCTTATCTCCAAAAAGATTTATGGTTCTTCATAATATAATCTGCTGCTAGATTAATTTGTTTAGCAAAACAGATTTAGGAGAGGGAAAATATGTGTGTTTGCTTTGAATGTAGAGAAATGTAAATTCTGGCGACGAAGCCAGCCTGCACGAGAAGGAGGCCTCTGAGCTGGCCTGCTTGGGTGCTGGAGAGTGGTGGCTCAGTGAGAGAAGAGATGGCTTGGGAGGACGCCCACAACCAGATGCCCTGAAGTCCAGCTGCCAGCAGAGGTGATTCATCTTAGACCCTGAGGAGAGCTGACCATTAGTATTGAAGATGGGGTATTTTCTTGATACCTGAGGGAAGTCAATGCAGTCTCCTAACCATTGTTTACAATATCTTACAGAATCTGAGGCCATAGGGGTAGTATAAAGAATCTCCTAGCTGTGGCTTGTGGAGTCCTACATGGCTGCAGCAAGGAGAAAGGTGGTGAGGGCTGCCTGTCTGCCTGTGATGCTGTCCTCTGTTTTATATGGCTGTGTCTCCCAGGGCAAGGTCTCCTCTCACGGCGTCATCGTTTTTCACCTGAAAACTAGAAGCTGGAAACTTGTCCTGCACACCTGCTGTGCAGGCTCCATGATCAGTGGAGTCTAGTTCATGCAGACTGCCTGCTGTTTTATACCCAGCTAGAGTAGCTAGAGGGTGTGCTTGACCATGTCAGAGGCAGGATAACTCAGCAGGGACTGGAGAGTCTGGTCACCTTACCCAGTTCCTGGTGGGGACACCCTGAAACCTGGAACTGGGATTCCATGAAGTCAGTCCTATTCTTCACAAAAGGATCTTTGGACTCTGGTTTTGGGAATTCAGTATTTTGGTTTTGTGGCTTCTGTGTAGAACAGTTTAGGAAGGGTGGGTTACATTTTCCTGTATCTATCGGAGGTCCAGGTTTTCCTATTGGTAATGGGGGGGCTCTCTGGAATTACTCAGGATCCAGGGTTACAAAGAATAGGTGCTGGAATTTCCAGAGAGCTCCTCTCTCAGGAGCCAGTTGGCAGGTGAGGTGACTAGGAGGTGTCTCTGGGTTTTAGAGTAGTCATCTAAAGCACCTTGTGAATCCTCTCCATGCCTCCATGGACATGTGAGAGCTATCTGCTTCCTAGCTGTGCTGTAAGACTAAAGTTCACAGCTCCTTTCATGAACTTAGGGTCTGGCACCTCGTAGCCGTTCAGTGGGTGTTTGGTGATGCTAATGTAAGTGTGAAGATGGTGGTGGCGACAATGAAGACAGAGATGACAGTAATGGTGAGGATCATGTCATCGATGGTGAAGATGGTGACGGTGATGACAGGATGGTGAGATGATGGTGGTGGTGTGGATAGCCACAGGGCGGTGACGATGATATTGGTTGTGGTGATGTTGAAGAAGGTGGTGACGCTGGTGATGGTGATTATGAGATGACAATGGTGGTGATGGTAACGATTGTGGTGATGGTGATGATGATGGTGAGATTGTGATGGCGGCGATGGTAGTGATGCTGATGAGGGTGATGATGGTATTGATGGTGATGCCAGGATGGTGGTGATGATAAAGTCAAGGACAGTGATGGAGTGGGGGATGGAATTGATGGTGCTGATGGTGGGGATGATTGATGGTGATGAACTTGGTGGTAACAACTATGACGATGGTTGCAGAGTGGATAGTGATGGTGCTGGTGCTGGAGGTGGTGGTGGTGATGGTGAGAGCAGTGATGATGAGGTAATGGGAACAGGAATGTTGATGACAATAGATAGCATCATCTCGTATCCTTGCGCTGGTTGGCTGCTACCAGCTTTGAGGAATCCTTGAATGAAGTCCCAAGGCCTTGCCTCTGACCTTGATGCTCCCTGGAGAGGTGTAGATGTCTGTAGTCTGGAACTGCTTGGGATGGAAAATCACCTGGCATATAGACACAGAGGTGACAAGCTGCGGCAGAGGGACAGTCATGAGGGTCAGCAGTTTGCCTGAGGTTGAAGGAAGAGGGCTCCCTGCAGGGTGTCTTTGTCTACCTCTCACAGCTCTCTCACTGGTCATGCTCTGAATCGGGAGAAACAGAAAGTCCTTGCATGAGTTTTCATCTCAATCTCAAAAAGGAGTCCCTGGGGAGCTCAAGCCAATAGATTCTGGCTAATAGACATGCCCACTTCAGGAATGATTGGAAGATGGATGTTTGACTATGGCTAGTGCTCATGGCAGGCTCCTTGACCCATAATTCCCAAAGTACCCGGTAGAATTAGACACTTTTCTGAGCTGTGGAATTCAGATCTCTCAGAAGGTGAGCCATCCAAGAGGGCAGCCAGGCCTGGAAGTCCCCATCTTCACTGAAGGTCTCTCTCCACCAATCCACTCCTTCTTGTGACTCCAGCCCCTGAGGATGTGACAGCCCCTTAGATGTCACTTGAGTGCTACCTCATTCATTTTTGCATTGCAATTCACTCATGTGTTTCCAAGGATCACCTCTAAGTAGCTTTGTGCTTCTTGCCATCGGGCCTTCGGTGCCTTTTATCTGTGTCTTCTGTTAGCACTGGTGGTAGGATAATGGTGTTTTCTCTGTACCTCAGTGGCCGGCTGACCTGAGAGGGGAACCAACCAGCTGATCTGGGAGATAATGTCTGGTGACAGTGAAATATTCTCTAAATGCTGGCATTGGAGCAGAAGGAAATTAGAAGCAGTTACACCCGTGAGAGGCCAACTCTTTCTATTGAGAGGCACTGTGGCAATTCAAACAGTAAGCCCCTTTTAATTAAGTTGCTGGGTGTTTGCTACCAGGGAAGTGGATCTGTCCTTAATTTAACGACGTCTGAAGCAAATGGCTCATGAACTTCAAAAGTTTCGAGTGTCTTAATTGGGATAACAGCATTGAAGAACAAAAGCAGATGGAGACGAGCAGCGTCCCAGGCGGTAGAGCAGGGCTTCCAGAGCCCGTCCGGACTGTCCGGTCAACAAGGCCCACAGCATGCAAACGCTCTGGGGTTGGAAGACACCATACATACTGGTTATGGTCACAGACGAGGGTGAAGGATGGCCAGCGACCCCCCGGGCCCCGAGTCTGTGGGAACAAGCCCTCCCTCTGCTTTTGCTGAGCAAAGCCCTGCTCACACCAGGTGGAGGGAGACTCATTTCAGCTCTCTTCTCCTGGGGAGGGCTCCGGCCTCCTTCTTTCATTTCCCTTATGTGTGCAGCCGCCTTGGTTTATTGTGCTCTCAGCTCTCTTCAGCTCCTGTTGTCCCCCAGGGCCTTGTTCTCCTTCTGAGAGCACATCAGGAGTGGGAGGTGCTCGAGGCTGGCTCCACCCACTGCCCATCCTGAACACAGGCCACCAGGGAGCTGCTGAAACTGACTGTCCCCTACCTTTCCCTTGCTGCATAGGGGTGTGTGTTCAATAGTGAGAGACCAGACAGTCCTCCTGCCTAGAAACCAGTCTCCTCTCTGAGTGAGCCTCCATACACGGGGTTCCGGGGAGTCAGGGGTCTCACAAGTGTACCCTGAATAATACATCTTGCATTGCACATGTTACTATACGCTGTATTGGTAACAACTCCGTGTAACATACATGTGACTGAGAGGTGTGCGGCTGTTTTCTGTGCCTGGGGGAGCCATCCTGAGCCCTGAGCTGAGATGGCAGACGGAATGCCATTTTAGCACCACTGTTCCTGGTGTGAGAAGCCCTGCTTTAGAGTCACTGACTTTTTGCTCATCCATGCACCGTGCAACAACAGTTGTGGGCAGGGAAGCCGAGCCTTCTGTTCTCTTTCCAAGGGCTTTGAAGAGCCATTTGGGAAAGTGAGACAGTCAGGACACACCCTTACGTTCAGACAGCAGTTGTCACAACACCCCAACTTCCTATGTGACCCTGGCAATGCTGGGGACAGAGGACAAGGAGACCACTGAAGTGGGAGGGGGCCGGTCAAGCTGTGGGGAGGTGGTGCTGCCTGATGGGCAGAGTGGGAGCAGCACAGAATCCTCGATGGAAAATGAATTCTGAAGGCCACTGTTCCTCCCCTGCCCCCACTGCCCCCATTGTCCACCACTGCCCCCCACTGCCCCCCCCTGCCCCCCCTGCCCCCCCTGCCCCCCCTGCCCCCCCTGCCCCCCCTGCCCCCCCTGCCCCCCCTGCCCCCCCTGCCCCCCCTGCCCCCCCTGCCCCCCCTGCCCCCCCTGCCCCCCCTGCCCCCCCTGCCCCCCCTGCCCCCCCTGCCCCCCCTGCCCCCCCTGCCCCCCCTGCCCCCCCTGCCCCCCCTGCCC